CACTGAGACATAGCCCAACCCAACTCTACTTGTGCAACCGAAAGGTTTGCTCGATAGCAAGGATATGAAAACAAATCTCTTTGCTTTTAAGGTGCCCCAGGACAAATTCTTCTAACTCCTTAATATTTCATCGGCATTCTGTGGCTGAAAGAAAGATCGCAGGGTGGTTTTCGGAGTTCATTTTCCAATTCATTTCTCTCTCTCTCTCTCTCTCTGGATCTTTCCCTCCAAGCTCCCAGTGCTACTGAAGCAAGATGGTTTCTTTTCTTTTTTCTTTTTTTTCTGGCTTTCTGCTATTTGTGTCCAAGGACCACGCTCCAAGAAAAGGTCACCAAAGCTGCAGCAGAATCAACAATCTCCAGTGTTCTGCTTCCTCCACAGCCAGAGAAAAAAGCTTGATGGCTTAGGCATCTTCTCTTTTTTTTTTTTTTGTACATCTTGAAGGTAAAAGGACAGCAGATGCAAGCAGCCTCTTGATTCAATCTACAGTATTATTGGACCAAAACCATGAGCCATCTAGTTTTACCCTGAGTTTGCAGACTTCATGTGACTAACTGGCTGATCACTAAAGAATAGTGCTGTTTAGGCAGTTGATGGTTGGCTCTCTCTGAAACAGTTCTAGCCTTTGTAAGACTGAGTTCTAGGATTCCTTTCCCTTTCCCTAATCTCCTCCAAAGCCACTTCTTTCAAAGTTGGGAATCCCAAGTCTCTCTGTTTGGTTGAATGCAGGACAAGCACCCCCCCTCCCTTCTTCTAGCACACCCTCTAGAACAGGGGTGGGCAAACTACGGCCCGAGGGCCACATCCGGCCCGTTGGTCTTTTTAATCCGGCCCGCCGAAGAATTAAGGTTTGATGTGAATGATTGAATGATTGCATTCATTTGATTTTGACTTGTAATGACAGGCATTTCGACACCAGGTAGCGGCCCGTCTGTCAAATTTTAAAAGTCAATGAGGCCCCCGAGCCAAAAAGTTTGCCCACCCCTGCTCTAGAATCACAAGGTCTAAAGCAGTTGACAAAAACAAAACAAACGAGAAAGATAGCAAAGGGTTTCCTTCTAGCCTGTCGCTTCGTTAGTGGAGGGGTTTCTCTTTGTTGTGCCATCAGTAGGAACTCATTCATAGCATACATTTCCACCAAATTCATAAATCTGAAATGACTGTCCTGTAGATAAGCCTCTGCACACCCACTATTTTACGTCAAAGTTAGTCACCATTGCTCACAATCCCTGCCTACCCTAATGGGACAGCCATTCAAGTTCAAAGTAACATTAATTATATGTAGTTCTTCCTAAAGGATGACTTTCCTAAAGGAATCATAGAGGTTGAAATTTTCAGTAGAAAAGGAGTGCTGGAAGGGAAAAGAAGAGAACTGGATGCTTTTGCTAATTTTCATTTTGAAATCGTATTTCCAGCTGTGTTGAACTCAAAGAGGGAAAGAAAATTGGTAACCCTCTGATTTCCGGGGAACCCACTCTCCGTGGACGTCAATCTATTCAAAAGTCTCTACTGAGTCAAAAATTAAGATCATCGCATTAATCATAAATTTAATCAATTTAAACACCTGACTAAGAAACTGAATAAACAGAACTATTTCATTTTGGTCACTTAGCTGGCAGATTTTGCATTAGTCACAAGACTCATATTTAACATGATCATGAAGCTGATATGTAATATTTTTCCAAGATCTTATCTACGATGGTATAATCCAGGAAACTCATCCCAGGTTTGCTTCCTCCCTCTTCTCCTCCTTCTGAAGCACAGACTTCCTGCTTGCCTGCCTGCCTGCCTGCCTGCCTGCCTGCCTGCCTGCCTGCCTGCCTGCCTGCCTGCCCCTAGCAGAAAGATCCTGCTTGCTTGTATACTTGCTGCCTTTCCTGATCTTGCCCTGGTGGAAGACAACCCCAGAGCCACATTCTAGCCCAGGGGTGTCCAACCTGGGCAACTTTAAGACTTGTGGACTTCAACTCCCAGAATTCCTCAGCCAGCAAAGCTGGCTGAGGAATTCTAGGAGTTGAAGTCCA